TTGCATAACTATAGCGACCAGCAGCGCATAAATCTTCTATATGCTTTCTATTTAACTTTTACTAAAGACTTCCGACACATTTCTGCGGCAGGCAATTTGCCAGGGGATTCCCGGATTCCCGCGGCTTCAGACTCCACTCGAACGCCCTGTCAACACCTACACACTAATGGCTATCAGTGTTGGCCAAAAGAGAGAGAGCCTCTACTATTATATTCCTTACATAATATTCTATATACCTTTCCAGGGTTTTATCTATGGAAAAACCTAGCCAAAAACTAATGGAAAAACAGCTGAAAGGGCAACACTTTTGGGCAACGGTCAGTGCATGAAGGAGAGTTCCAACTGTTGACGACGATGGCGTGCCTGGCCTCCATTTGGAAGCCACTCGCGGAGGTGGCCCTGGGTTCCACCTGCGTCTGTATCTCTCTCTCTCTCTCCAAGTGTGTGTCTGGAGCCCTCGAGGCTTGTAACTTATCTAAATGAACACAATTATTGAATATAATCGCTGCCAAAGGCTGAGGTGAGCGCAAAAGGAGCGAAAACAAACACGAGAAATTTCATGCCGCCTTTTAGGCGTTTCCTGAGCTTTGCAAAATAAGACAAGGGAATGCCCTGCCACTTGGAAATATATATAAAATAAGAACTTGAAGCATTTATAGTGCATAACTCCTTATAATTTCCCCATAATTCCCTAATATTTTCATAGAGTTAAAGGCTGGTTCAATTAACCCCTTGCACAATATAAACATTTTTGCAATTATCAAGCAAATATTTATTTAAGCGCAATTATCCCGGCACGATAAAGAGAAGAGAGATGAGACTATGGCAAAAAATCAAATAAAAAATTCAACTTGCCGGCAATTAAGCGCAATTTCCGCTCGCCGTCGGTTGATTATTTGAAATGCATACATATCTCCATATGTGTTGGGGGCTAAATAATTGATGCGGCCCTTTGCAAAATGATACAAATTATACAGCGCGAGAGATTACAAGAATCGGGAGTTGGTAGTTGCACATAAAAAAATTAAGCAAAAAAATAAAATACATAAAGCAAAAATTAATTGAATTAAATAGGCTGCAAAAAAACAAAAGACACTTATTAATTCCGCCCCAGAAAGGTGGCATATGCACCGTGTCAGTTGGACGACAGGGAAATCAACAAAGGGCGGAAGCCACATGGAAATGGTAATGGTAATAAATAAAAATCACCAATAAAAAATATATAAAAAAAGAAGAGTGCAAATTAAAAGGCAAACAAAGTTGATGCCTTGCAAACTTTTAACTTTGCATTTCATTTCATTTCACTATTTGTTTATTACACTTTTCCCCCGAAATGCCAGGCAGGTCGAAAGTGGAAAATGCAGGCAAAGCTCCTTTGCTGTTTTTCTAATTTCTTTTTTTTTTTGAGGGAAAATTCGCGAATTTGTGGGCGTTGTTCCGGTCCGCTCGTCCAGCCCCCGTTTTTCGTTGAAGGGTCTCTGGCCTATAATTAGCCTGAATACCCGGGCACTGGACTGGACTGCTTTTACTTTTAGGTATGTATGAAGTTGTATTTACTTTATACCTCTTAAAAAAAATCCTTATAATACTAATGACTAATAAAAAAAATGTCTAAAATATATGAAAGCTCTCAAAAGTATATTAAAATTACCCTCAAATTCAAGGTTTCCTTTTAGTAATTCGAAAATAAACAGTATGACAGCCTTTGCCCGACCCCAAAAGGACCCACAGAAGCCACCCTGTTCCGTTGATTGGCTGCTTAAGCGAATTGCGGTGGAGGATTCAGCAGGATTCTGTTCGGTTTCTGCTGGATGCTGCATGTTGGTCCACCCACAAAAATGTGCAGCTAATTGGATGTCTATATGCGAGGATGGATATGTGGCAGGTACTTTGACAGTCGGCGCCTGATTTCTATGCAAATTGATGTTACAGCACAGTAAGCAGGCAATATTTCTGCTTCATTTCGTAAATGCGTCCGGGGCATCCCCTCTCCTTTCCACTTCTCTCTCTCTTTGCAGAGCTCCGCATCATAACCAAATCCCTGATGGCAGTCGTCCATCGAGCTCCTTGGATTGGCGCGTTTGCATATCAAACGCCATATCTGACGCCACGTCATGCCGGTGATGCGTCTTTAATTATACATGAATCCTACAGCCAATTTCATGTGTGTGACATTAACCAAATAAAAAAATAAAATTAAAAAAAAAAATACAACACATATAAAAGAAAAAATACATAACAAGCTTAAGGAAATTAAATAGATTACAGCTCTACAGTTTGAACCTTGAATACAAATGCAAAGAACTCCAAGTGAAGAAAAGAGGAAACTAACTTCCGAAAGATAAAGTCTATATGCCCTTGCCGTTTGCAATGGAATTATAGGATCAAATCGGAAAACGATATTTAATAATAAAAATATATGACCAATTTTTCCTATAAAGCAATGTTTAAAAATGTCATAACTCAGCCAAAAATGCACTAATTTCAATTCGGACAGCTTTCCTATCTTAGTTTTTATTAGTTTAATAAATGTGCATACTCAACCAAAAATGTAAAAAAATTACAATTTTTTAACATTTTAACGATGTAACCCCTTATCAAATTTTCAAAAAATTGATCAAAAATTTGTTTCCTAGAAAAATAGCTAGTTCGACTCGGCTGTTCATGCTGATCAAGAATATATATGCTTTATAGGGTCAGAAATGACTCCGTCATAGTGTAACAAGTTTTTGACCAAAATTAAAATAAGGGAAATAATAGAACCTAAGACTTATAGCAGATGCACAACGCCTTACGATTTTTTTTATAAGCATTCTAGATCTGCCAGCCTGTATACGCCAGTAAGATCCTTGTGTACTCACATCTTTAGATTTTGCAAAAATAAAGAAATTATCTTGCCTAGCAGAGGTAATGAATGAGCATTATCCATCTTATAACATTAGACATAATTTTTTATAACCCTTGCAGAATATTATACTTTTACCAGCTGCTCTTGGATCCCCATTTCTTTTGGGCCACTCTTACCCATGGCTTTGGAATCGGTTCAAGTTTATTGTTTTTGTTTCCAACTATCACCGTAATTAGCACACATCGGAACACACTAAGGCACACACCGATCGTGTTTAATTGAGCGTACATATATGTGGTGCAGTTTCTCTGTATTGTGTCATTTGCCTTTAATGAACGGTTGCCCGCTGGCCAAACAGACCGCTCCACAGCCACAACCACTTCGACGTCCATGTACCCACCGTCTACTTATTTTCATTGTCCTACCAAGCGTCGCGTGGCCTTTGTTTTAAGCAAACAGCAATTTAAACGCTGGCAAAAACAAAAAAACGAGAGCAAAAACATACAGGGGAGTATTTTTTGTGATAAATTACAATATTACAAAAATATCTTCCCAAGTTCAATACAAAACAAGACAGGATACTAAGTTCCAGAAGCCAATGTTTATATACCCTTGCAGATTGTAATTGACATAAGATCGTATCAAAAATCTATCATAACTAAGCTTAAAATATTCGCATTTCTTAAATAGGTATTTATAGAGATATTTTTATATGAGAATTTTTCGACAAATCAAACATTTTTTAAATGTCATAACTATGCCAAAAAAGCATTAAATTCAAATCGGAAAGCTTTCCTTTGTTGGTTTTTATTAGGTTAATAAATCTGCATACTCCATTTAAAATTTAAAGAAATTTTTGTCAATTTTTGACAATTTTAATGATGTAACCCCTTATAAAATTTTCAAAAAATCGACAAAATTTCAAAAAATTTTGTTTTTGACCAGACATGTCTAAATCGATTTGGTTTTTGATGCTGTTCCTTCGTGGTGTTACAAGCTTCTGACTGAAAGTATGTACATATAATACCCGGCAAGGGTATAAAAATGTATGTACTTTGAATATGCTAGGGAATGCAGTCAAAAGTGAGTAGAATATATATATAAAATTGTTAATTTAAATGAAATATAAGTTTTTCAGCTTGATTCAAGGCAGGAATGTGCACTGAATGACAAGCTTAGAGCATTCCTAGATGCATAAGAATTACAAAAATGTAAGCAAAGCTAATGGAAATTGATCAACCCTGGTTGATATAGTGATCTTAACACCAAATATTTATATTTATCTAAAAACGAATATCTTTTTAATTCTTTACAGATATAATACCTAAACTCTACTACCCTTAAAAGATTTTGTAAACATTTTCCCAGTGCCTTAACTTCTTTTTATTTTCTGCCACAAAACTCCTTTTTATTTCAGACTTCTCTCTTAGCCAAGTCATCTTACCAAAGTTCTTTGCTTCTCACAGTTGTAGGATCACTTTTTGGTTATAATGTAACTCGGAACTTTAGATCGTTCCGTACGGTCAGCTGGCCCTTTCCTTGTGCTTGGTCCTTGGTCCTGGGACTTCAAGGATCGTTTGCTGGCTTTCGCCTGCAGCACCGTTTTATTTCGTTATTTTTTTATTTTACTTTTTGTTATTGTTTTTTTTGGGCTTGCATGCGAGCACGCAATGCAAGCTTATATATGTAGATATATACGCTACCTCTTAACCCTCGGCGGGCAGTGTGTTTTGGCCAACTGGTGGCAGCTATTCAATATATCAACTTTTGGCCTAATAAATGCACTAATTGCGGTTAAATGCATTTTGCATGCAATTATAATCATTAGGGGTTGGCTGGCACGTCGTCGTATATCCTCCCCTCCAACTTGCCTCGCCCCCGCCCCTTACCCAGACATCGTTTGTAAATTGTTTCTGTTGGTCATTATTTTAATTGCCTTGGGACATGACCAGTTACTCCCCTCACACACCGCACAAGAGTTAGTGTTATGTATATATATATATTTCTGTAGTTTTTAGTTTTTATTTAGGCAAAAAATATGTGGTTACTAAACATAGACAAAAAAAAAACACACACTCACACACACACACATGTACATATATACATCAATATATATATGTACTTTAGATTACAACATTTATAGGTAGTTTCTAGGCTATGAAAAAAAAGGGTTACGTTTATTATATTATTTCTAGGCGACGTCGAAGATAATACATTTTGTGGCTAAGCTCAACTATACAAAACTCTTTCCATTGTTTATATTCTTTTAAGTTTTCTTTTGTTTTTTTTTGGCTGCTAGTTTATACAACATTCAACTGTTATTTGTTCTTAAAATTGTTAAATACTAAAAGCAAATGAAATAAATAAGACAAGCACACTGAGATATGGTTATATACACAAGCACACACACAAGGACGAGAGATGCTCCAAGGACATGATTTCGAAAGGGTTTAAATTTTAAATACAAAACAACAAATAAATATATAAATCAATAAATAAATATGGTTTATAGTTTAAGCTGCAAGTGATTGTCGGATTCCTCTCTGGCTTAACTTTTCTTTTGGCACCAAAATGTATGCGAATTTCCCTTTAAATAATAATAAATGAAAAACCTATCGTATAACCAAAGTGCCTGATCTGTATACTTTCCCCTTCCGCATCACGTCCTTGGTAGCCCCTAAACCTCCCCCTTAAACACTCATAAACAAACTCTCAGGACATTTTCCTTTAACCTTTCACACCTGAATCTGATCCTCATCCTCTGACTGCGAACAACTATCCACCGATCTGCCTGGCGGACTGCCTGGATCCAATGTGGGACTGGGTGTCGACGGAGGACGTGTTAACTGTGGCGGCGATGCAGAAGGACCTGCCCTGTAAGCAGTTCCACCCGGTCCTGGACTGGGACTACCCCCAATGGTTTGGTCACAGTTCCAGCACTTGCTCCCGTGACGGACACAGCCGTCGGAGGCGGTGGCAAAGGATTTCCCGCTGCGGCAGCTGCAGCAGCCGCACTCTGATAATAACTGCTCAGCGAGGACAACGAACTAGAGGCGGAGAGGTGGGAAAAGGGTGCCGGACCCACACCCACGCCCACATTGGGCACACCGGCGTACAGGTTATACGGCAGCGGTTTTTGCATGGCAGCAGCAGCGGCCGCCTGGCGGTAATAGATATCGATGCTGGTATGTGGCGCTGGTCCATGAGCGGCAGCGGCAGCAGCGGCGGCTGCTCCAGCACTGCTACCGGCAGCAGCCGCATATGGCCAGGCGCCCAGGTATGGCGATCCGCCATATAAACGCTGGAACGCGGCAAAGTTTCCAGCCTCTGCCAGGAGTTCCAGGCCCACAGCTGTCTGGCGCTTCCATTTGGTTCTGGAAAGAGTTAAACAATAATAAAACTAGATTATAGTATTTCCATTTCGCAAAAAGGGGGTAGGTATTAGAATGAAGTTTGTTAACTTTAAAGACACTCACCTACGATTCTGGTACCAGGTCTTCACCTGACAATCACTCAGATCCAGCTTGTGGGCCAACTCCTGACGCTCCTGGACACTGAGGTACTTTTGCCGCTCAAAGGACTTCTCCAAAGTCTGCAGCTGGTGATCCGTGAAGGCTGTGCGTGCCTTTCGTTGCTTCTTGCTCAGACCGCTCATGTCACTGGTGGAGCCGCTTTTGATGCTATTACCATCATCATCCTTGCCGCCTGGATAGACCAACAGAACGGGGGTATTTAAGGTGTTTCTATTTGGCTTTCTTGGCTATAAATTAACTCGAAATGCTAATTCTTAAGGTGCATCCCCATCGATCTGTCTGCAAGCCATGGAAACCGTTTCACCCACAGTTAAAAGGCTCGTTTATGGCCACGCAATTGCCTTTTCCGCTCACAAAGCGATTCCCCTTCGCAATGTGTGTGTGCTAGTGTAATAAAAATGTGTAGCAAAATGTCTAAACTTGGCAGAAAAAGTGCAAAAGATAGCCGGCAAGCTTACCCTCACCCCTTCTCGTTGAGAACTGTTCTTGCCACCTTTTCACTTCACCTTTTCCCCCTGCCCCTCTTGCCCCTTTAGTATATACAATTTATGTAAATTAAAGCGATTGTGGCTACCCGATAAGTGAGAGCGTGTTTTTGGGCCATGGTCAGCAGGGCTAAGGGAGGAGGTAAACTCTCAAGCGTTAAATTATTTAAAGTGAAAATTTGCCAAGTTCCGCATTCAAATGAAGTCTGCTCAAGTGGAGGTGAATGGGCTCTACACAAAGAATAAAACATACATTTCCATACAAAGTAAATCCAATCAAAGGATACCTGGTACTTCTACTCTATCCCTATCTAAATCAATATCAGCAATATATATATTAAGATGTCGATCGACAACTTTAACCTAATCCCCAGGGATTTCAGTCGTAAACCGCCGATCTATAACACTATTGGCGTCACCACGGGTTCATCGGTGCTGGGAATTCGTTATGACGATGGAGTTATGATCGCTGCGGATACTCTGGTGTGCTATGGCACTGAAAGATCCTTTCCGGACGAGCCACGTGTCTTTAAAATCAACGATAATATTTTGTTGGGCGCCAGCGGTGATCATGCCGACTTCCAGTTCATGCACAACCTGATCGAGATCAAGACCATTGAGGATTTTTGCTATGGAGAGCCGAATGTACTCAAGCCCCACATGTTGGCCTGTTGGTTGTCCAATACGCTCCATTCACGGCGTAAGGCCATGGAACCGCTCTTCTTCGATTCATTATTGGGTGGACTTGAGCATGATGGAACCCCGTATCTGGCATCGGTGGATCGATACGGTGGCTACTTTGAGGACTATACGATAGCCACTGGGCCGGCCAATGCGGGTTTACCAATGGTTTGGAGTCGCAAGCCGCCCCACAGGGAGTTCACCGCCGCGGAGGCAGCCCAATTGGTTGAGAACATTATGACGCTGTTGTTCTATCGACACTGTGCTGCCACCAACACCTTTTTGGTGGGAATATGCTGTGACGAAGGTTGCAGCGTTGTGGGACCCTTCACTGTCAAAGAGGATTGGAAGCTTGCTGAAATTGTCACTGGCTACTAAATGTTATACATCATTTTCCATTTAACAAGGCGGTGGTGGTGCCATACATTGTACACTCAAGCGACACACACATTAATATTATTATTTTATACCAAAGATTTATGCATTTGAAATAAAGCAAGGCTGGAACTGGTTCAATCTTCTGTTTTGGTTTGTAATTAAATAAAAACATCAAGTGATTGATGGCAGCGATAAATGGCCTGTAATTGAATTCAATTCATTTTCAATTAAAGCAAATTACTCACGAATGCTGAGATTGGCTTTTAGAATTATTGATTTGCTGGGCAATCGTGTGATTACATTTCTCTAATTAATCCACATGTTGTCGAATTAAGAACTGAATAAAAACCTATTAATTGACACCTTTGATGGCGATTTATTGTGCACAATTTAATTTTGCTTTTAAAAATGGAAATGTATTTCCCAGATTTCAATCCAAAACGACTTGCCCGATAATTGTTTTCTCTTTTCAAAATTGGCATCCTTGGCATCCTTTTTTTTTGCTACAAAATTTCTGATGAATTGACCGATTGCAGCTTTCCCTGCCTGCCGGCTGATCGGCCAACTGACTGACTGGCCAATCATTTAGCCCCTCGGCGGCCACAGAATGCCACTTTATTCGCTGTCATTCGCAGTGGCCATCATCAGCAAAAAAGGGGCTGAGATAAAAGCGACTACCGTTTATAAAAGTGCAATTGGAAACAGGAAATTGCTGTAATAAATGGCACAGAACAGGGCCCAGATGGAGCCCGATGGAAACCCGGGTCCGGGTCCAGAGTAAGCCTAACCTTGCCTGGCTGCAACATTTTTTTTATTATCCGCCGGCTTCGCCCCTAGCCTTGGGGGCATCTATTAAAGGGGTTAAATGCATTTTTATAACAATTTTCACAATTAAATGATAGAGCGAGCGGGCGGAGGCAGTGCGTGAGATGCTCCACAGAGAGACTCGCTCTATGCAATTATTCAAGATTTTTGCACATCTCCTCTGCGGCACGCCCCACGCCATGCAGGTGCATGCCCCCAGGAGTGGTGCAGGGGAACTAGGGGGAGGGGGGATGTTTTCTGTCGGCGCCGGGGAAGCGGCTGCCTTTAGAAGCTTCGCCATGACGCAAGCAAAGCGTGAAAATGCATTTTTTTGTTCTTTTTTTTTGTTTTGTTAAACCACAACAATAAAACTGAGAGAGAGAAAAAATAAAAAATAAACAAAAGCGACGGGTCGAGAATGTAAAATGGTCATGCAATAATTTTTACAGTTTGTTTAGCAAAGCGACATCGACGAGGGCCACCCCGAAGCCCCCTTCCCAACCGCTGCAGGCCTCCTTTTCACGCAAAAAAAGAAACAAAACAAAAGACTTAGGCAACGAACTTGACTGCGGAACCGATTTACTTGTAATTTTTTTACTTAATTGAATTAGTTTTTTTGATTTACTCAAGCTGGCTTTAGTATGGGGAAATGCGGTTTTACACTGAGTTGCACAGTTGTCCAGAAAAAAAACTTTAAATGAAAAACTCAAGAAATTGAGTGCATAGCCAAGCATTTGTATGGTAAAATGTGGCTAAGAGACAGAGAGAGAGGTGCGAAGGACACTTGGCTATGTCTTAATATATAATTTATTTTTATAATACTAACTGTATTATATGAGAATTTATTTGGGACTATAATGTGGGATTATCTTAAAGTTCCAAAATAAAGATAGGAATAGATTAAGCTGTGTCTTTCTCTTTGCTTTGTATGGAACTCACTTATTTTAGTGATTTTCATAACAGTCTTTTAAAACCTTTTTATGAAATCACATTTTAATTGCATAGCGAGTCTAACCTAATTAAAAATCAATGCATTTACTCAAACGCAGACTTATTTACCGACGGATAAAGATATAACAGGGACTTGACTGCGACTGGATTGAAATAAAGTCTAACAAAGATTATAATAAATACTATAAGTTAATCTGTTTAAGATTATATTAACTAAAACCCTTCAAAAGCTGACCCTATCTCCTCCTACTCCTCATAAGCCCCTCTGTGGGACGTCCTTGTAACTACCGAAAACTCCCTCCCTCCCCCATAGTATAGAGGCTCACCTCACCATTGCTACAAACGCTGTGATCATCCATGTGACCGCTGCCTCCTCCGCCGCCTCCCGCGCTGCCCGCCTCATCGCTGTCGCATTCCTCGTTATCATTATCGTTATCATGCTCATGCTCATTCTCGATCTCGTTATCCTCATGATAATCGCTGCTGTCATCCAGTTCCGTTCCCGTTCCCGCTCCTGCTCCGACTCCGACTCCTCCCGGAACTATACCACCTCCTCCTGCGCCACCGCCGGCTGCTGCCACAGCGGCAACGGCTGCAGCAGCTGCTGCATTATTTCTGGCAGCAGCAGCGGCTGCAGCGGCGGCATAATGCTGCTGCATGGCCGCCGCATATTGGGCCACATTTAACCCATTGGTGGCACGCGGATGTGCCACGGCATGCGGATGTGGGTGCGGATGCAAATGTGAATGCGGATGTGGATGCGGATGTGGGTGGTGGAGCGGCAGTGGTAGATGTGGAGGTGCCGATGCCGCTGGTGGTTCAAAGTTTTCGCCATTGTTGTTGTTGTTGTTGTTGTGAGCGGGACTGCTGCCGCCGCTGGAGCCCGAATTGTTGTTGTTGTTGCTGCTGCTGAGGCGGTGCTGGTGCTGCTGCTGTTGCTTGTAGAAGGTAGTGGTCAAGATGTCATTGATCATGAAGCGGGAACGACTGGGCTTCGAGGGGGTGGTGGTGGTGCTGCCGGACATCGCGATGCCAAGGCCAAGGCCAATGCTGGCCGGCGGCGCTGGCTGCTGCTGCTGTTGCTGTTGCTGCTGCTGAGCCGCGTAATGCTGCTGCAGGAGATGCTGCTGCAGCGGCGGTGGGTGGTGTTGCGTGTGCTGCAAATGCTGCAGGTGCTGCAGCGGATGGTGGTGCAGGTGATGGTGCAGCGGATGCGTGGCCGCCGCTGGCGTCTCAGCGTGCGTCTGGGTCAGTATGCTCATCGAATCCTTCATATCCTTCCGGGGCACCCAAAAGCCAGCGATGCCTGATCACTTTCCAGAACACTTTGCTGGACTTTAAGCACTTTACAACCAAAAAAAAAGCAGCTCAAAACTCATTCACTGACGTGTTTGTTTGCTTGCCAAAGTTTGCGTTTAGTTTTTCATTATTTTAGCGGTTTTTCGAAAGAGATTCTCAGCTTAAATTGTTCAGTTTTCACTTGGTTTTATAAAGTTAATTGGTTTATACAATTTATTTATTGTTTTGTTCTTTGCTCTCTTTTTGATTTAACAGATAATGTTTTGTTAACAAGACTTTGTAGCACTTTTAGCAAGTTTTGCCAAGAGCTTTCAACACTTAAAAAATTCCCCTCAACTCTCACATCGACGTCGTGCACGGCTTGGCTGCCAAAACGAGACTGAGCATGATTTGTGCATGAAACGCACCTGCCGGCGTTTCGCTGCCACACTCTGGCAGCGGCAGCGCTGCTCGACGGTGGCAACAATTTTGCCACTTTGTTGTTGTAGTTGTTACGGGCGGGGTGGCATTGAAGTGGTGGCTATGCCGCCAACCGTCTGCCCGTCGTGGGTCAGACAAGGACGGTTGTGTCTCGGCTTGCCCTCAGGCCGCTCGAACTCTCTCTCTCCCTGTCTAATATTGCCATCTCATCGGTTGTCTTGCTTTGCGGCAGCGCCATGTTGCCGGCGCGAGCGCGAGCGGTTCGAACTCACCACTGTGGTGAAACGGTCTCTCGCGAGATTTTTATAGCAACGAAATGTCGGTCAAGTGGTTGAAAGTTGAGAGTTCCCTGAGTTGGATTTTGCTATATTCGTATTATTTTTTTAACTTTTAAAAAATAACAATACATTTTACACTTAATTATTGCAAAAACGATTTGGTCTTTGCAGAAATTAATTATGAAAGCAAATAAACAAATCAATAAATGCTATAAACAACTTAAAAATTATAGATAGCTTCGACTTTTGTAATTTTTAGGCCCTTATAAAGGCATTATAATTATAGTCAGAAGCTTGTAACGCCTGAAGGAGTCATTTCCGACCCTATAAATCATATATATTCTTGATCAGCATCAACAGGCGAGTTGATCTAGCCATGTCTGACAAGAAATTTTTTTTTTTTAATTTTTATCAAAATTTTATAAGGGGTTACATCGTTAAAATTGTCAAAATTTGGCAAAAATTTTATTTTTAAACTGATTATGCAAATTTGTTAACCTAATAAAAACTAGCATGGGACAGCTTTCCGAATCAAAATTAATTGATTTTTGACTTAGTTATGATATTTTGAAACTTTGATAAGTATAAAATATTTGCATGCTAAATGATCTATGAATATTATTTTATAGATATTAGATCTATTAGATATATATCTTCAATATTCAAAAGTATAGTAAAAATGGCTCCCTAATGCTTTTTTAACGCACAGAATGGTATACATTTCCCTCTTCATCTCCCCCTCCCTCTCATCTTCTTCAAGTGTAATTTCCCACAACAAGAAGACAATTAAAATTTCACGCCAATAGCTCAGTCCTGGGCCGATGGCAATAGGGTTTTGATGGCCACATGTTAGCCGAAGGACTAATTGCAGGAAAAGGAGCGGAGCGAGGTAAACAAATGCAATTTGTCGGGAGCGGCGGTTTCCGTTTGATTGATATTGATTCTGGTCTGGTCGAGAGGAGATGGAAGTGGAAAATGAATGAGGAAAATGGGAAAATGGGAAAAGGGAAACGGAGGCGAAAAGGTCAGGTGACCTGCAAAGGTCGTTAGTGGTGGTGGGGAAATTAGAGCGGCTACCAAGGACTTGAAGCGCGCGCTTCAATGGCGTTTCGAAGGCATTAAAGTAATTAGCGTCTGGCGGAGCATCAAATGCGGCGAAAAGTCACCCGAGTCCTTCGTCCTGATGACGCTTATTGCACTTAAATGCATATAATTGCCAGCCCAGTCGCATATCCTGCGGTCTGCGGTCGGATTCGAATTCGTATTCGAACTCGAGCTTCGACTGCCAATGCCAATTGAATGCTTAAAATAATTGCACTTCTGCAGCAAACAAAAAAAAAAATGTGAGAGGAAAAACACTGCGGAAAAACTTTGAATACTCAAAACATATAAATAAATAAATTTTAAAAGATAGTATAATTACATGTAAGAAGGATGTTTGGTTTGACACAGTTCTTTAACTTTAAAACTAAAGTTAGCTGTATGAATTTGTCGTAAAGTAAAGTGAGGAAGAGACTTTCCCTGTAACCTAGACATTGATCATTATTTTATTCAAGGATTTTAAATTTCTCCAAGTGCATCTGCGGGAAATTATGAAAAAGAAATGTACGAATGCTGAAACCGCAATGCGCAGTTGTCCACACAAATGCCACACCCCCTTTTCCTTCGATTACTGGACAGTTGCCAATGCGAAGCAAAAAAAACTTGAACAGTTGGCAGCGTTTTTCCGGTCTTTCTGCCTGCTCACCAGCTGTCCATATATATTTTCTAGCGTTATATATATTCATCTATCTGCAACTATCGATATATCTCTAAATTTCGCCCTAATTAACCATTGAGTATAGTCTTTACTTGCATTCCCAACATTCACTTGCAGATTTCTCCCAATCAATATCAAATATTAAAATTTCAAGGAGGTAATTAATTATTTTTCAAATATAAATATAAAGAAGAAAATCTATATATCTTACTTTTATAATATTCCTGTATTCCTTAGCCATCTTTTAAGTGTCAAATTTACTTGTCACACTTGCAGGAATGAAAGGAAGGAAGGCACCTTTAGTATAAATATAACCAAAATCAACCCACCATACATCCAGCATCCCAATTCTTCTTCCACTTTCAATTCCATTTCTGATCTGTTTCCGCGGGGCATATGGAATCTTAATCGGCATCTTTGATATTATAATGTTCGTGTTACTGCGTGGACAAACGTAATAAAATAACTGATCGTTGTCGCTGATAAGTTAATTTACTTTTAATGTGCTGCCCTCGCCGAAGATCCGTGGTCCCTAGTTGGGGATTCAAGAGCCAGCATCCCAGATCCGGCGGTACAGAGGGTTGGGGTAAATGGCACCGGAGGTGACAAAGGTTCTCACTGGACCCAAAACAAGCCCACGATCTGAGACTGAAGCTGCCTGCTATTGATCTTCTTTAAGTTTCACTTGCGAATACCCTTTTGATTATTTTGAAATTAAGACTAAAGGAATTTAGTTCAACATTTAGATGAGTTTACAATTTAAAGCCTCTACATTTACTGGTATGAATTATATTGGAGAAACAAGCCACTTGACTTTAACTTTACTTTTCGTAGTTTGGTTAGTATATATTTTAAAATTAAATATCTCAAACAAAAAGGGTATTTCCGGCTTCGTTTTTGAGCACTTTTTCCACTGATTTGTGTTGGTTTTTTCCCCTACCTTGTTTTATTTGGCTGTTTTTTTTTTTGTTGTTTTGTGTTGTGTCGGTCGCGTGTGCCGTCGATGGCCAACGTTGTTGCCAACTGATTTGTCAACAACGTGGCCAACAAAGGTGTTCTCCTGCCTGGGTTTCCCCCCCGCCCTCTGCACACTCTGGCAATTTATCGCTGCTCCAGATCAGTCAGTATATATAGCAACTACACAGGATAAACATAAAGCCTGATTTGGATCTCTTCCACTCGCTGGCTCGTTTCGGAATTGATGTCCCCCCCACTAAATGGAGGCTATTTAAATTTTTACTGCCTGCCGGCACCTATAAATCCATTGGAGGATCCATTTGGATCCTAGAACTTGGGATCGATCGATGATCCTTTCCCATTCCCCATTCCTTAGCCACCTGCCTTAATTTTTACGAGCTCGGCTTAGCCCGGTTGGCTAATCAACACCTTGCGATGATTGTGGTTCCAAGCTGGAGCGTTATGGAGCGGTAATCCTTCTCAAGGAGAAGCGTGGAATATGTCTTATATGAATCACATTAAAAGCAATTTTTAAAGAATTTTCAGCTAGAAATGAGTGTAAAATCGGGGTTTACTTTGATTAAGAATATTGCACAGATGCAATATGGTAAGAATGAGCGCACTAGATAAGATCAGACCAGAATATAATAGTTTAATACTATCCCAAGAATCTCATTTCCTTTTCTTTGGGAGTTCCCCCTTTTCTACATTTCCGGTTCCTTCCTTAGCTCGTGCCAAAACCGAGATCCCTTTTGGACTCTAAAGTTTTGTGCATCCAATTTGTAGATTAACCAATGTGTTTCCTTCGGCAAATCGCCTTATTTTTCTCTTATTTCCATTTATCGGCAGATGGGTCTCTTAATTAGGAGTGCAAGTTGGATAAACGGCGGCCCAGGCGACACTTGCCACATTTGCATGGACCATAAAAATATGCCCACAGTCACTTTTAAAATGCAACCACTTAAATGGAAGAGACTGAAAACGGTCTAAGAAGTGAAAATGTATTTTATGACTCAATTTGGTGCTCATAAAACGGGGACCTGTATGGGCCCCGCGGCCATACAAAGTGCCACAATGTTGGCTGAATGAGCGATAACGATGCAACCGTCGAAGGTGAAGGTGTGATCTTTGGGAATGGTAGCGTGATCGATATTTAGCTAATTTTAATTTGCTTATAAGTCCGAGTAAGGTTTAGTTTTCTCGATAGTATATTTAAAGTTCAGTAAACACTTTCTTAACCAAATAAGTTTTACATGCCACGGGTAAAGCTCGCTTCAGACTCCTTAGAAATTTTATTAAAAGGAGCGGAGAGCTTTCTTATTCAGCTCTCATATTTCTCTGCGTTTTCCATATTATTATAACCCTTTCAAGGTATTATTATTCAGTCGTAGGAATATATATTATAACAGTCAAAGCAACGGTTGTTAACTAAGTAAGTAACTATGATCAGTAAGTAACTCTGAACAGTAAATAGATATGAGCAGTAAGTAACTCTGAACAGCAAGTATCTATGACCAGTGAGTAACTATGATTAGTAAGTATCTATGACCAGTAAGTATTAATGACAAATTACTAACTTTGAACACTAGTAAACAATGACTTGCAACTTTTGTAACACAACACATGTCTGAGGCTTGGCCGGCAGCAGTCACTTCGTTCCGGGGATGTTAGAACAAGTTGGGAATCATATGCCCAGATGTGCGAGATTTGTTTTGGAACAAAATTTAGTAACAAACTATTTAAATGAAATTATGGTGTTATTCTTCTTTATAATTTTACTTGAATAAAAGTCGGAGCATGGCGAATCGGTGGACTATATATATACATATATATAGCTGACATAGGAACGATCGGAAAATTTAAGTAAGTTCTTATGAATACCAACTAACTATGATCAGTAAGTAACTCTGAACAGTAAATAGATATGAGCAGTAAGTAACTCTGAACAGCAAGTATCTATGACCAGTGAGTAACTATGATTAGTAAGTATCTATGACCAGTAAGTATTAATGACAAATTACTAACTTTGAACACTGGTAAACAATGACTTGCAACTTTTGTAACACAACACATGTCTGAGGCTTGGCCGGCAGCAGTCACTTCGTTCCGGGGATGTTAGAACCAGTTGGGAATCATATGCCCAGATGTGCAAGATTTGTTTTGGAACAAATTTGGGAGCAAGCTATTTGAATAAAACTATGGAGTTATTCTTCTTTATAATTTTACTTGAATAAAAGTCGGAGCTTGGCGAATCGGTGGACTATATATATACATATATATAGCTGACATAGGAACGATCGGAAAAATTAAGTAAGTTCTTATGAATACCAACTAACTATGATCAGTAAGTAACTCTGAACAGTAAATAGATATGAGCAGTAAGTAACTCTGAACAGCAATTATCTATGACCATTAAGTTACTATGATCAGTAAGTATCTATGAACAGTAAGTATGAATGACAAATTACTAACTTTGAACACTGGTAAACAATGACTTGCAACTTTTGTAACACAACACATGTCTGAGGCTTGGCCGGCAGCAGTCACTTCGTTCCGGGGATGTTAGAACCAGTTGGGAATCATATGCCCAGATGTGCAAGATTTGTTTTGGAACAAATTTAGTAGCAAACTATTTGAATGAAACTATGGAGTTATTCTTCTTTATAATTTTACTTGAATAAAAGTCGGAGCATGGCGAATCGGTGGACTATATATATACATATATATAGTTGCGATTGGAACGATCGGCAAATTTAAGTAAGTTTCTATGAACAGGAAGTAACTATGATCAGTAAGTAACTCTGAACAGTAATTAGATATGAGCAGAAAGTAACTCTGAACAGTAAGTATCTATGATATGATGCCGAAGTGAGCTTCATTTCTTGTTTTCAATTTTGTCTTAGCCCTCACGCTGCCATCTCTATAGACTGTTTTTTTTTTTTTTAATTTATCTCCAACAACAATTCGATAGTGGTGGCTGCGCCTTTCGTCTGATTGTTGTTAATTTTTATGTGCAATTAATCGGCTACGCGCATTGAGCATTTATAAGCATTTCTGGCACCAACAGAGCCCAAGATCCCATCCAAAATGGTTGGGTAGGGGGGGAAGGTATCTTTTGGAGAACCGAAAAGAAATTAAGTCGCTTTGAATTAAAGTGAAATGCAAAATGCATCTTCACCAGCTCCTCCTCCAGTTCCCCCCCATCCAGCTGGTAATAAAAAAACCGACGGAGGCAACATTGTGAGCTGAAAGGAGTACGGAATTCGGAAGGGAGGACGATCCGACCGATGGTCATAAAAGTGGGCAAGGTGTTGAGATCCCCAGCAACTGTTCATTGCTGTTGAAACCTTTAATCCGGAGCTACATACGCCGACAGATGCGTCCGATATCCCGCTGTTTTTTGAGGGAAAGAATCATATTGAATGTGAAGTAAAAGCTGTAAATGTTCAAGAACAGGTCGATGAGAGACTAGGGTAACGTCTTCTTAATGCAAGTATTGAAAATAACAATAAGTTTGATATTGAAAACGAAATATGATCAAGTAATCCTTGAAATGAATGTACACAGCACATGTACAGTGTTGACTTTGTCACTTTGTCACAATCAGCTTTTCCATACAAGCACTATAACTTTCTCAGTATTTTTACAATATTATTCACAATGGAATTGAATGTTCAAGATCACTTCACCTGCAGTAAGTAACAAATCTTTCAGTTTTACCATTAAATAATATAACATAAAAACACATTGAGGATGTCGCACATTTATAGCCAATAACTTCCCTGACGAGTCTTCTTCCTCTGATGACGAATTGGAAAGCAACAATATTCATCTCACTCCATCGCTTGAAGAAATGTATGTTCAACAGGAGGTAGAGACTCCAGAGATGATGGAGCTGATCGTAAAGTTCGAGAAGCTCACCATTAAGGAGCCGGAACAGCCATTAGATCCGATTCAAGCTATACCAGAGGAAGAGATTTGCAATGGTGACCCTGAACCAGTTGTATTACAAGAAAGTATTGATACAAAGTCAGAGATAAATGTAGCAACAGAAGATCTCTATGAAAACCCTGCCGACCCCGATGTGTTAATGGAAAACTCTAAAGAAAACTCAGACCAATCAGAAGTAACAGCAGCAGAAGTCGTAAAGGATGGCAACTACTTTCTTAAGATCCTCAAAGACGAGCAAAAGCGATTGTTAGATTTGGCCAACACTGCTGACCACTATGCAGCCGTCTTGGTTACCAGGAAAAATCGTTGGGAATATGCTTTCGAAAAACTACGACTCTTCTCAGGCTTGGCCAAATTGTTAGTGTCTTCCAAAATGAACCAGTTTGAAGAAATATGCCTAAAAAATATTAACTCTTCACCAAATGAAGACTTCCCAGTTACCAATGACGACCTGCATGGATTTTGGGATATGATATATCTGCAAATTCCGGCATTGGATGCACATTATGCTGAAATTGAAAAAATTAGGGATAACAATTGGAAACCTCCAGCTACGGATGCAGCTCAGGTACCTTCGACTTCGGGAAGGCAGCGGAATACCAATTTAAAAACCCGTGAAAAGCTGTGGCGCAACAACTAAACATTAAGTTATATTATATATTTTGTTTATTCACAAGCACACTCAAAACAGAGATACACTTGTTTAGTTCAGAGTCACCCAGATATCCCAAAATTTCTTTTCAAATCCAATTTGTCTTGCAATTGCTGATCTATATATCGCATTTACTAAATTTTAATATTTGTAACTAACATTCAACTATGAGTAACAATTGACAACCCACAGAAATACAAACAATTGTTAATAAATTCACTGATAGTCCACACGAATTTAAATCAAGTTAAAGTCCTTAAGCTCTCTCTTTTGGCCAATGGAAATTAGCCAACACCCATTCGTCCTTGGCCAAGGTAGGAAAATCCCCATTCTTCCCCCTCCTCTCCCTGCTTAATTGCATAATTTCATATTCGGTTTCTTTTGGCTTTCACATTGCCTGCTGTTCACGTTCTTTTTTTTCCTCTTTTGGTTTTCTGTTTGGCTTTTGTTCATTTGCCAGAGCTGTTACCTTACTCCACCCTCGGCGTCTCTCCGGGGGTAGAAGGGGGTCTCTTCCTTTTAGCAGCTTAATTGCCATGGCCGAAAGTGGCAAAGAAATGCAGCTCACTAATTACAACAACTTCGACGAGAATGAGAGGAGAACAGAAGTGGAACAGAGGAGAATTAGTGGCAGTCAGGCATGTCCTTGCCACAGCTCCTCTAGGGGGTTTTCTTGAGCTATTTTAAAGGGAGGTGGGGCAAAGAAGTCTAGGTTTCCCCCCAATTCATACGCCTCTGTTGCGAGTGTCCTTCAAAAAAAAGGCCAATTGTCGTGCAGCCACGTTGCATGTGCAGCAGCAGCAGCAGCAGGGAAAGGAGCTGGAGCTTGGGCTGGGGTTATGGGCATCGAATATATGTAGAATTTCCAGTCATAAAACTGCGGAATGTCGCCAATTAAAATTGTTGCACACACACACACACGAGCGTTTTGGTGTGAGTGTCAGACCTGCCACTGTGTGTGTTCGTGTTGCACATGTGACGTGACATAAATGCATGTCATGTTCGTTGCCTGTTTTTTTTTCTGTTTCGTGCGTTCCAGGCCCAGTCCCAAGGATTTCCCATGGGCCATGGTGGAGCAGGAGGCAAGTTCGCGCGCTAAAAACTATGCAACACAATGCCCGTAAATTGCGCAATCAAATTACCAGCCATGCCCCACCCCCTTAGGCCCAAACCGTCGTCGAAGCCCCTCCAAGTGCCCACTGTAAGCTTAGGCAATCAATTATAATGTTAGCATGCAAGCTTTATAATTGTTCAAAGGGGTTTGCGACAGCAGCAAAAAAAAATATATATATATATAAAGTGACTATGGTGGGTTAAGAGGGCGTCTCGAAGGACTGCACTGGGAGGAAAGTCAAAGAGAAGTGGTAACTAAGTTGGGAAATCAAGTTTTCAATACTATAATAAAGTAAGAGGAATATCCCTACAAAGCTTATTCCCTTGTCCAGATAGATGCTGCTTATATAGTATATAGATTTTTAGGTAAGCAATATCTAACCATAAAACCAAATAAAATCTTTGTAAGATTTTATGTACATAATATATTCTAAAACTCTTACATTTTGTCTAGGTTTTCAAAGAAAACTAGCAGCTAAAAAGGGAAAAATCCCTCCAAACCTAGTCCCTTGTCTAGATTAATGCTGCTTATATTTTATAAATTATTATTAAGGTAAGCAATATCTCACCATGTAACCTTGATAAGATCTTACATATACAATATATCTTGAAACACTTTTATTCTGTCTAGGTTTTCAAAGGAAACTTTCATCTTTATATGTCTATATTCTTCTTATATATATTCTATACCCCAATTTTCTTACAGTGTCCATATCCTGCCGTTGTTGCACTACAAAATAGGCATTTTAGGACTCAGGGAACGCTGATTGTCGTTGCGTTGTTAGCCTAAGTACGGCCCGGCCTTTTGGTGTCACGTAAGGTAACTGTTACTGTTACTGTTACTGTTCCGGGTACTGCGCTTTTGGGGTACTTCCCCCCCCGACTCTCTAATTTTAAGCATTTAACGTGACCGCGTGCAAATTTCCACACACACACACACACACGCATGCACACACTCTACCAACTTTGTACTCTTTAGCACTCTTTAGTTGCGCTTTGCATTCACCCGGGGGGAGGTAGAGGTATTCAATTGTAGAGGAGGGGGGTTTTTAGGTGTTTAGGGGTTAGATTTTAGGGTGGACATGGTTTAAGGAGTGGGGCGGAGGTAAACTGTACTCGATAGGAGAGTTGGTTGATTAATGACGGAATCGCATTAGCCGAACCGCGGCCAAGTGCAGTTAGTCAATCAATCAGCGGTGGCCCTCTAGGATTTACATCTACGTTTCTCTTTCAGTGACCTCTTGACCCTGGCTAATGGGTTCCAAAATGGTTAGGGATTATATATATACAAAGCTCAAAGGAAAGTTTATAAACAAGGCTAGAACCTTACTTGTTTTCTTTAATTCTTAAAAATAATTAATAGTATATATATATACCAACTAAAACTGGCTAAATGAACTTTCAAATCCAATTTAGATCCAAGTTAAAAATGGCACAGAGATGGGAAATAAGCCAGCTCTCTCGGTTCAACCTATTCGCATTGCAAATTGTGTGAAAATCGTGGATTTTTTTCACAGGCAACAAACAGGCAAACATCCCACTAAAATATTGCCATACATTGTTTTCCCGTTGCGGGAAGAGAGCTTAATCCATAATTTATAATTTGCCATTACGACCGCTACCTCCCCTGGCTTTGGGCTTTTAATTAGTTAATTATTATTTGCTATTATTGCTTAGGTTTTTTGTTTTTTTAGTTTTGTTTCAAGCGCTGCCTAGCTCTGCACTCGGCACTTTAAAGCCGTTTTGGTGGAAAAGGGAAAATTCAAATGGAATTTGGTCGAGTTTTATTGGAAACTATATCATATACCCATTTCCCACTTCAGAAAAACAACGTTCTGCCAATCAAAATCATTCCTTGATTACCATAAACTTGATAATAAAACAAGGCACTAAATCGAGTCTTAATTAGTTTAATTTAATAAAATAATATCCCATTCCTTTAATATAATACTCTCTACTTTCAAACGAAACATTACAAAAGAAACATTAAAGCCAGTTTATTATTTACCAACCCAACAAATCTATTAATCCCATTTATTATTTCATTTAATTTAACCAATATCGCAAGCTAATCGCAACTCGTATTAATTGCGTAAAGACGTTTTCCAAACGATCCAGGGAAATGGGGAAATTCTTTGCACCATTTTCAGTTAAAGACGGAAAAAAAAGTGCAAAGCAGAATGGGAGAAAACGAGCACGAAAATTAACTGTACTATAAAAGGTGGAAAATTGTTCAAACAAACCAACGAAATTTGCATAATTATGATTAACACAACTCTCGGGGGCGGGAGAAAGAAGGAAGGGAATAACAAAAGGAGAGTGCATTCGGAGGAAAAGTTCGTGTTTGTGGGCTGGTAAAAAACACACACACACAAACACAGTAACAATAAAAAGTAAGTATATTTCCCTCTTTCAGTTTCATTATACCCTTCGTCCAGGGTATTATAATTTCAGGCAGAAGCTTGCAAATCAGTGAAGGAGTCATTTCCGACCCTATAAATCATATATATTCTTGATCAGCATCGAAAGTCGAATCGATCTAGGCTTGTTTTAAAGAAAAAAAATTCTTTTTTTTTTCAAAATTTTATAAAAATTGTCAAAAATTCAATAAAATTTTAAATTTCTTAAAAATTTTACTTGAGTATGCAGATTTGTTAATCTAATAAAAACTAGCTTAAAACAGTTTTCCGAATTAAAATTAATGCATTTTTGCCAGAATTATGAACGATTTGCTTCTCTAATCCAATGTCCAAATTGCAAGGGTATACAAACTTCGACTCCTTTGAGGTAACAGTCTTTCTGACTTTTATTTGTTTTAGCTGGACTTTTGCGGTTTTTGGCGTTTTCCGCCATAAACGCTCGCAATCAAATGTACATAAAATAATTCACACACAACAAGTTTCAAAAACAAACGATTTGCTGGCAGAGCTTATCTCGAGGTCCGTTTATGCGAAGGCTAACTCATGGAATCACATTGGAAATAATATAGTATAAAATATTAAAATATCAATAAATATTATGAGAATTCCTCTCTTCTTAATTTCTTATAATCAATAAATCTGTATCCACCTATTATTTTCCTAATTTTTCGTGTCCTGTACTTAACAAAGTTCGAAGTATAAACAAAGCCTACCCCCATTAACTAGGACACGGAGAATTAATATAAGTAAGCCCTGTCTGAGGGTTTCTCCCTAATTTAATTTGGGTATGTATATTTTATAATTAGTTCATAATCTTTACTATTAAAAAATACTAATACTACATTTATTAAGATATTTTTTATACATTAAAATATAGCAATTTTTCCGCGAAGTGTATGCTTTTTCCTGGCTTACCTTTCGCCGCCTTAGTAGGGAGACGAGGGCCTAGGGAAAATTCAGGGGCGGGTTTAGGGGAGGATCGCGAGGTGAGCAACAACAAACCGACGGTTAGTGGACCCTGAAGTCTAAAGTCTGCGTGGCATTTAATTTGTCTGATTAGCATTTTCAGTGGCACGCATGAAACACATTAAAATTTGTTTCATTGTGAGCGTTCGTTTTTTCGCTTATTCGTTTTTCCAGCATTTTCAGCTTGTCTGCCGGAAAAGCGCCGACGCATAGATATCGATAGGAAGGAAACACGAAACCAAGGCGATAAGAACGGATGCCGCACGAAATGTGGCACCTGTTATCTGCCAGGTGAGTGCAGAGAAATGCATTAAAAATTGCATTTATAATATAAATATTACAAAGACCATAAAGTAGGGTACTTTGAATATAATAATTTCTATAGAAAATATATTAAAAATATATGATAAAGTTAGTTTCCTGTTCTATTAAATACTTGAAATCATTTTAATCAATGTTCATATTGCTCAAGTTCAGTTTAAAGCAAAAGTATAGGGTTTCCTATTAATTTAACCCCAAAAACAACATAGTAACATGCCCTTAAATTGATCCGGTTTACGTAAAAGGTAAATTCCTTTGTAATTAGGACAATATTTGACGGGAGCAGCAATTATTAAATGATTTTACTAGGGCGTGATATGAGAGTTTCTGCTCATGTTTTACGGAATTTGTGACAAATCATTGCCGGATCATCAGTCAAAAGTCCTGGACGCAATGTCCTGTGAC